AATGATATAAAAGATGAGGTTGAAGAATCAGAAATATATAAACAAATTGAGGAATGTAACAGATTAAACTTAACAAACAATAATCCAAATTCATATGAAATACATCCATCAGCAATCTACACCAGTAGATGTTTTAATTTCAAAAATCTTCCAAAGCCTAAGAATCTTAATGAAAAATGATGATAAAAATACAAATAAATTAATTACTAAAGATTGTCTAAGTAAGCTTTTTTATTTATGATATATTTAATTTCAAATATTAATTCTGCTTTATTTTAATATTAATTAATTAATTTATATTTAATTGTATTTTATTTTATAAGTTATCGGAGAATGTAGTATGGAAATCCCATAAAGAAAATAGTTGTTTGAGATGATTATTAACCATAATTTTATTATGATACTAACTCTTTAATTGATTTTTTCGTGTTTAATGTACTTACTCCATAAATGTTGATAATTAATTAATGCATATATTAAATTTATTAATTAATAAAGCTCATATCTTAACCCTCAAAAATTTCGAAATCTACATATATTCATTGATTTTCAAGTTGTATGATCATTTGATTCCCTCAATCACCATTCGATATGTAAGATGTTGACCAATCCAATTTTAGTTTTAAAAGTCTAGAAATAATTAGAATATTGAATGAATATATATTTCTATTTTTTGAATAAAATAATTTATACTTATACCTAAATTTTTTCGAATTTTGTATAGGTAAAACTTTCAGCATAATAGACAAAATTCTTTTTTTTTTTTTTTGAAACAAGATCAGAATTTTATATTGGATTGGGCATATGAAATGGTATACCAACAACAAATCCAGGCTTATATAAGTTTTTTTTATCTGCATTTGCATCAAGAGATCTGAGATCTAGACAACCATCAATAAAGTTATATAATAAATAAAAATGATATATTCTAATCTACAGTATATGCTGTTGATTACAATTTATTGCCTTTTCCAGGTTTATTCTTATTATTATATTTATTATATTTGAATTATTATTATTTTTTTTCTATCAAGTAAAATAAAAGATATTAATAATCTTAGCGGCATACTTCTTTCTAAGTTCGCTAATCTCAAATGCAAGCTTGGTATCTAATTCTCTTAACGAAACCATTGTAGATTGCATATCCGTCATCGTTTTATATATGGTGCGGATATATTCAATTCTTTATCGTAAAGATAGATTCACGTGACAAAATCCCTGAACTAAAAGGAAGTAAAAGTAAATGTGACCATTTATATTCACTGATGAAATAAATCCACAAAATACTCATGCAAACTAAACACGATTATTTGTGATAAATCATAGCTTTATTGATACAGCAAAAATAAAATACATTAAATCCACACCAATCCCTTTTGTCAAGAAAATGTAAATTCGCTTGCATAACATACTAATTGTAAAATAAAAGAAATGAAATTTTCCTGATTCAATTTTAAAGTGAATTTTGATATACATCTTGCAATACAAATAAATCTATATAAAAGTATTGAGGTGTACCAATAGGAACACCACCACGGGCACCATTGAAAAGTGGGTTAGTGGGAATAGCTAATTGATATTCAGGAATATTGACCCTATCACATGGAATTGGAACTGGCCCAATTCCGACTCCAGTAATTATATTGACCGGAACATTTATAGTATTTTGGAGATAATTTCGTGTGGGAATGCTTAGAGATGCTGTACCGAACGACTTTACGATGACAGGTATTGTTGGATTTGGGTTATTGCGTGAATACAGCAGTGCAAGCAACGCAAAAGTATTATTTGGACGAGGAGGAAATAATTTGATGGCCAAATATAATTGAGTCGTGGTTTGTGAAGAAAAATAACCCACAACCTTTCTATGTAAATGACCTAAACCCTCTGTATTTCCTATTTCCACAACTAAATTTGGACAGTGTTGTCCTGCCCGTGGGGGTTGAGGTCGTTGAGGTTGTTGAGGTTGAATATGTTTTGGTCTAACATTAATATCACCACGATAGACACTCCTTGAGTTCACAATGAGATCTCTTTCGCCTGTGACTGCTAATTGATTACTCCAGCTTCTCATTATAAAAGATAACTCTCCTTGCACATATGCGTGAGATTCGTCAGGCATATCATAAGCTTCTATTTTTCCATCAATTAAACAGTATTTAACAATAATGTCTCGCTCGCTTTCACAAAATTTAAGATATGTATTTTGTGATATTTCTTTATCGATGGCAATCCCCAAACGCTTTACTTCTTGAGTCCCTTCTTGTCGAACTATGGCAAGTAAGCGGTACCTTGCAAGATCAAATTCCGAGCACCACTTAGAATATAGTTCTTCCTCGACTTGCGAATAAGTTGGCATGATGTCTAGAAAAAAATAAATTATTATTGTGATATTAAAATGATATACTCTACTGATATTTTTAAGAGATGATTTGTTTAATGATGTAATCTTGCTGATCACTTTTGCCAAGAAAAATCTTATAGTCTATATCGGGTACGAAGCTACTAATTTTCCGATATGTGAATAAATTGCCGAAGTCACAAAGTGGCTAGCTATACTATCACTTAAAAAAAATACTTGGTACATTGTATGTTCCTCTAAAACAGTAATACGGAATAATTAGTTTGCATTACACGAAAAAATAACACATGATACATTGTACGTTCTAATCCAATCCGAGATCTTAAAAATTGCTGTGATCTAAATGATATATGGAAATCAGAAGTGATTAGAGAAATTCGCAAAAGATTAATAGTAGATTGCAAATTCATCGATAGTAATACAAGTGTTAAAGCATTAATTGACCCAAAATCTCGATATAATAGTATTAGTAAGAAACTCGCTAAGAAATTGGATTTCTATATAACCAGGATGTATGGATCTGAATATCCGGTGGTGAAAGAACTTGGTAAAGGAGCAACAAATGCTGGTAAAAAAGCAATGGTAAGAGAATGGCTTCGTGATGAAAAAATTTCTGTTTCTTTACCAAATATTTTTGAACTGGGGATACGTAAATCATTGCCCCATCATTTAGGAGAATCATATTCCCATTTCTTAATTGTCGATAAACCTGAATATGACTTGGTCTTAGGAAGTTCATGGCTAATAGGGTGTGGATCTGATATTGATTATTATGCTTATCAAATAGACAGAAATGCCCTTTGGGAGAAAAGGGGGAAATTTTGCTGGAGAGAAGATAGTATAGAAATAATGCCTCGTTCATTGCATATATTCTAACTAGATTTCTAATAAAAATATGGAGAATGATTTAGTTGATGTAAGTAAATATTATGATTCGAGCTACTCTGAAACAGAATCTGAGTCTAGGAATTTGAAGATGAATGGTCCGATTCTGAATCAACTAACTCTGAAACTGATACTTCCGATTCAGAATCAGCAAGTATTGGAGATGATACTTCCAATTCTGATCCACCCCTTCCAATCTTTACTGTCATCTTCGAAAAGAGACAAAAGAACATTATTCCACAATAAAAAGAAATAATCATTATTCCCAGTAATAATTCTGACTCTGACACTTCTGACTAAAACACTACTCCTTCGTCCAGTTCGGGATCAGAAGTTATACATGTGCATAAGACCGCATCTGTAAAAAAGCGTCCTAAACTAAAACATCGCAAAGGGAGGGTGTGTAACAAATTATCGATACCTTAATTATTTTTTCCGGAAGGATGAATAGTTTAGGATCGTATCAATAAATGTACGTTAGGAATGATAAATCGAGGTTTTAGATATCTAAATTTTTTTTTTTTTGCATTACTTATTTCTATCTGCTTGTCATCCAACAATAAAATTTATCTGAAGCGAAGATCATAAATATTCAGTCATCTTATTATTCAGCCATCAATCATCTTTTTTAGTTGATGTATTCATTTAACTTACAGTTTTTGTAATTCGATACATATATTTTTTATACAACAATTTTAAAATCCGCATATATACTTAAAATGGTAAGTAACAAAGAAGGATTAAGAATTTTAAACATAAGCTATCTTTTATTTGAATTAAATTAAAATTGACTTTTTGTAGAACAAATTGAGTTTCTAAAAAAAGACATTATAGTTAAAAATGATTATTGATCACAATTTGTTATGTTTGAAGAAATTTGTCCACAATCTATTTGGCTTAATGACCAGTAAGATTCGGAGCCATCAACTTTGTAACATGTGTCTTGACTATTGTCAATATTTTCTTCCCAAGCATCATTTTTATAAATGTGGAGATGAAAACAATATTTGGGAAGTGACACTGAAGTGCTAAACACTAGACATTCGGATTGATCGCTGGCAAGATATAGATATCCATTTTTCCATACAATTTCATGATTGTCACAATTATATATAGCTGCTCTCCCATCAATCGCATGCGCCCGGAAAGTAGATTTGAGTTTAATCGTTGATGCATTTACTATACATAATGTAAATTAAAACATAAAATAAAAATAGTAAATATTGGTACCGTGAACTATAAATGTCCTTGAACTTTTTTTTTAAAAAATGTTTAATTACCTTCATATACATTAGTAACTAGGCATAAAATTGTGAAAATGATAAGAGTGAGGAAGATATTGGATTTCATTATTAAAAATACAAGACTGTGTGTTTCGATATTAATTTCTCAAAGATAATAAATATTATCCACTTTTGTTATCCCTTGTACGTTCACGGCACACTTATATAAGAAATTGATTTCGATAGAATAAACCTCTAATTTTGGAATAATATTATTTCATTTGTTAAATTTATTTCATATGGTTTGAATCTTGTGATCACCTCGAAGCTGAGCGATAACGTTTTCTTAAAATCAATCTTCACTATCTATAAAATTTTCACATTCATTTCTTGACGATTAACGCACAGGATAGAGAATAAAAAATAAGTATTTTGAAAAATACTTTATAAGATTGATAAAAGTTTTCAATATATATTTTTTATTTCACAATAATACAATATTTTTAAAAATCTTAATTAAAATAGCAATTATTTTAAATCATTTCATAGTATTTAAATCACATGCCATAATTATTTTGATAAGCGTTCTTATGATAAAACGCATATGGCATAAATATGTTTTATATGTAACAACGATTGATAATTTTCTTTAAGTAAATGATCAACAATAATTTTGATCTTTTTTTAGTCGTGTCTAAGTAAAGTTCTGATTTTAACTAGAAAATGTAAAATATAATACAAATACTAATTAAAGTTGTATATTTAGTATATAGAGCTACAACTTCTTATAAGATAGTAAGCACTTCTGGTAGATAATTACTGAATCAAGAGATTACAATTAACAATTTAATTTAATATTTTGGTTAAGTTTATTTAAGACAAGATTTTAAAATGAGCAGGTATCCAATTTGAATAAATAAGATATCATACAATAGCTCTTGATCTGGGGATTCTTTTAAAAAAAGTTTATGCAATTTAAATTATTCATTGTTCTAGAATTCACCCTTGAAATTTTTTAAAAAATTTGGAAAGAAACAGCTATACCAGGGTTATTATACCCTACATAGGTCTATACCTTTATGATGCTTGGGTAAATTATTACACGTGTTATGTTCATGTGACAGATTCTGGATGACAAATATGGTTTTCGCGTGACACGTGACACACGGTGATAAATATATTACCCCTGTCAAACTAATCCTAACCCATGCATTTAACGGTAGGTTTAGGATAAGAGTCTAAGATTGTCCTATAAAAATTTGCTTGTTGATCAGTAGGACATATCCGAAGGATATGATATGAAGTAAGAAATTTAAATATAACGGTATTTCGCATCAAAAAAAAAATGGAAACTAACTCTTTTTTATATATTATGGTTTTTTATTAGCGTTACCAAAGAAATTCAACGCATTAATGAGCAGGAATTAAATCGAAATATTCAACTTTCAGGATCTTGGCATGATCAATATTCAGATTCACCTTATATATTTGTGGGAAATATTCCTTTTGATTTGACAGAAGGTGATATAATATCCGTGTTTTCACAGTAAGTTGACCTTACATTGTTTCGAGACCTATTAATTATTTTAAGGATTATTTACTTTAATTTTTAACAGATATGGTGAAATTCTTGATGTTCAGTTAGTTCGTGATAAGAAAACTGGAACTTCAAAAGGGTTTGGGTTTTTAAAATATGAAGATCAGAGAAGTACAATATTGGCCGTTGATAATTTAAATAATACTAATGTATTATATCGTCACTCAATTATATTTCTTGATTATATATTTTGATTAGATTTTTGATATTTTATTTAATAAATATAATAAATATTTTTAATATTTAGCTTTTAGGACGTACTATACGAGTTGATCACGCAAGTGCAAAAACTAAAGATGGACAACGTAGAATGGGAATGAATGCTGTTCCCTCAATAATAAGTATGATATGTTAATTAATTCTCAATCAAGAAATCTATTATGTGTGTGTATATATATATTATTTAATTATATATTCGAGAAATTAATAATATATATCTATTTTTTTTTCTTACAAAGATGAAACCAAAAAATCATCCACTTCTAGTTCAGAAGATGAATTTGCTGATAAAGTTGATCCTGATGATCCTATGCGAGACTATATTATCAAAAAATTAAAAAAGGAAAAGAAAAAAGCAAAAAAACGTGTTAAAAAGGAAAAAAAAAGCAAGAAAGAAAAAAGAATAAAGACTCATGAAAGTAATAGTTGATAATTTATTTATTTCTTTTATCTTATTTTTCTTGTAATTAAAAATAGATATATTATTATAATATATCCTTTAATGTTTTATTGGACAAATCAATTATTCGATTCGTTTTGTTATATAAATGATTATTGTTACTTTTGTTATATTGATACTCTCCTTTTACACTTGATTACATATTTTTACAATTATATGATTTGCATTACTATTACACGTAATTGATACTAATTATTACTTTTAAAGATAACTTGTATAAAATATATAAGATGGTTATGCAAACTATTAGTATAATATTCCAGGAAGGATATAAAATTATAAAAACGGTCAGCAAAAGATTTTAAAATTTTTTAAAAAAAAAAAGTATATTTGTCACGCCGGTGATAGTCACCGTTGGGCAAAATTAACAGAGAATTATGTAATTTTGCCCGGTGGTGACAATCACTACTGGTGACAAATAGATTTACACTAAAATTTAAATCAATTAATTGTCCACTAACATTTCACTATTTCACTAGTTGCAGACTTGCAAATTGCAGAAATTGTGGATTTTTTTTATCAAAGCTCCCCATGAGCTTTAGGGACACGTGAGCCCATCAAGCTTGGTCAAGCCTAACCAAGCCAAGCCTAATATTATAAGCTTGTGGTTTGCAAGTCCAGGAATCATAAGCTCGAGCCTGACTAAGGCTTGGCTTGACTAGGCTTGACTGGCTCTTGAGCCTAATGTATAGGCTCGCAAGCCTGTTTATAAGACTCACGAGTCTATATATGGCTCACGAGTCATAAGTGGACTCACAAACCTGTATAGTGGCTCGCGAGCCTAATATAATATCAGTAAATTTTAATAATAAAGAATTTTTTACATTTCAACTTCATTCGCAATTTACAAAATATGGAAAAATTTTTACTAAGATATTTTTAAGATAGAAAGAAAGGTCCTATTCTTGATTACAAAATAATATGTTTCATCCTGGTAACATTAATATTTGTGGAGTTATTCTAGTTTAAAGAAAAATGTTTGTAAAAAAGCATGCAAAATCTCTGGAAAATTTTTTCTACAATTTTTTCGTGGACATATTAGAATAACTCTGTGAATATTAATGTTACCAGAATGAAACATATATTATTTTGTAGCCAAGAATAAGGTCTTTCTTTCTATCTTAGAAATATCTTAGTAAAAATTACTCCATGATTCACAGATCACAAGCAAAATCAAAAAAAAATAAAAATAATGCAAAAATTTCTGGAGATTTTCACTTTTTTTTTTTGAATTCGCTTGTGATTTGTAAAGCATAGAGTGATTTTCTACTAATATATTTCTAAGATATAAAGAAAGGCCTTGTTATTAGCTACAAAACTATATGTTTTCACTTTGATAGTATTGATATTTGCAGAGTTATTCTAATTTAGAAAAAATGTCCATGAAAAATTATGTGAAATTTTTTTGCATGATTTTTTCACAGACGTTTTTCTTTAAACCAGAATAACTCTGTGAATGATGATACTATCAAAATGAAAAATATATCATTTTGTAGTTAAGAACAAGGTCTTTTTTTTTATCTTAGAAATACTTTAGTAAAAAATCACTTTACACTTTGTAAATTGTGAGCAAAGTTGAAAACATAAATCCTTTGGGATCTTTCATTAAAAATGAAAATCCTCCAATAATTATTGCCTATTAAAATTTCTGGATGTAATATTTTTAAACAATTAATTATTAAATATTTTTAAATAATTTAATAAATATCATCTAAAAATAAACTTTCACTAAGGTTTATGAGTTCATATTAAATTTCAATAGCCTATATCAAAACTCAAGAGTCTATATCAAGGCTCTTGAGCTTATATTAAGGCTTGTGAGCTCATATTAAGGCTCACGAGCTTATATTAAGACTTGCAAACCCATATTAAGGCTCACGAGCTCATAAGGCTTGAGAGTCAAGCCAAGCTTAAATTATATTGGCCTGAGTTTAAATTTTAAATCTAAGCTCAAGCCAAGCTCAAGTTTTTTGAAATTGGTTAGACTTGAATCCTATAGAGCTTAACCAGGTTTGGCTTATAGGAAGCTTTATTGAAATCCTTAATAATTGTGATACAAGTAATAATATCATAATTTGCAATTCATAATTATGGGTGTCATCTTTATTTTGAACTTAAGGAGATTTGTTTTCAATTACAGAAGAAAATAGATAACTTTTTTCAGAATTAATAATGAATCAGGAGGAGATTACAGATATTGTAATGAAAGAGTATCAATTTTTTATAATATTATAGATAAAAGAGAGAAATTGATTTATATAAAGTGAATATATATATGTACTGAAAAAAATACTGAGAAAATATTGATAGAGATACCTCCATTAAAGATATTATCTAAAAAGGTTTTGACACATGTCAAAAAAAGATTCAAGAATTTACCACTTGCTCCTGTTATAATAGTTGATTAGATATCATACCTACAGTTTATAATAAGTAATAACTTATATAACTTGATATCTTCATTAAAATAATTAATGGAATTTAAATGTAATAGAACCTGTTAATTTAATTAATACTTTTTATATATGTATATTTGTATAAAAAATTATTTCTACTTTTCAAAATATATTATTTTTTTTTTTACTTTTATTAACTTTTCTGCTTTATTATTTATGGATAAAGTCCAGTGTTTTTAACACATATTTATCATAAAACTAAAACAATATATTATACTATTTACATATAGAATGTCAATATTTAAATCTGTATAACCAGCTCAAGATATGTACATAGTTTTTGTTCATATATATATGCTACTTTTTTTTTAATTTATTCTTCAGTACAATATAAAAGGATATAACAAAAAAGTAGTAAAAGAAAAGTATCATAAACTTTTTTATCTATATTCAAGTAACTTATCATGAAAAAAATCTTGACTTTTTTGAGATACTAAAAAAGAAAATAACAAGAAGTGTTAAAAGTAGAATATAGTGATATTGTTAAAGTTTTAATTATATCTTTATTATACATGCCGCCCAAATTCAAATTCAAAAACCCAAATCCCAAAATATATTTTGACGGCCCTAATCCCAAACCCAAAATATTTTTGGCAGCCCAAATTATTTTTGACAGCTCAAATTATTTTTGGCAACCCAAATTATTTTTGGTAGTTCAAAATATTTTTGGCAGCCCAAATTATTTTTGACAGCTCAAATTATTTTTGGCAACCCAAATTATTTTTGGCAGCCCAAATTATTTTTGGCAGTTCAAATTATTTTTGACAAACCAAATTATTTTTGACAACTCAAATTATTTTTGGTAATTTAAATTATTTTTGGCAACCTAAATTATTTAAGGCTATCTAAATTTTTGGCAGTTCAAATTATTTGTCAACCCAAATTATTTTGGCAATTCAAATTATTTTTGGTAGTTCAAATTAT